AATGTTTTCCCCATTATTGTGTCTCCTGCTGCAGCCTGGCATCGCACTTTATATAAACTGGTAGGAAGACACGAAACCCACTGAACCACAGCCGCCAGGAAAAGCCTAGCATCTAGAATTTTTTGTATCTTTCCGTCTGTTCATTCACAACTGGTGCCAACTTATGTAAAAACTATTTCTGAACTTTCTCCAGGTCCGTCTTCATGAGGCTGATGGAGCTCCACCTCTTCCCCTGGAGCTGTCTCCGTCACTAAAACTGTACACATAGCAGGATAGGCACTAATAGCGATACAGCTTCTTACCTCACGTGGAATAAATACCATATTTTAGACAGCGTCAAGCTGTAATCACGCCGACACCTTGAATGATTAGTTGACAGATTCATTACTTAGAATGACAGGTGTTTGATTTAACATACTATACGTCGGCTGGAAAACTCCATGCAACACTAGCTGAGCTGCAGCACCGTTTATTTACTAACTGTGAAATTCACTATAAAGGTAAATGAAGAATTACATGTTCGTTTCATCCATTTTATTTCCTGTATCTTACACTAAACGCTCAAAACTATTCACTGTGTATTCGTACTGTGCACAGCGTGAGACTTTAGTTACTAATGATTATTCTCCTGGTGCTAATTATCTACAAACTGTAATTAAATGTGTATTATTTTGTATTCAGGAAAGGTCACTTCTAAAGCATTCCCTTCGCTGTAGTTACTGGCAATATAAAAATAATATTGTCTGTTAATTATAGCTCTTTAATCAGGTGTACAACGAGTTTTTAACCCTGTTTTATTTTTTTACAGAATTGTCTTCATTTCACAACACAACCCTTAATGACATCAAGAAAATAAAATTATGGAAACCTATTATTGACAAATTATTATTTAAATAATTTTTGCGCGTATTTCAGATAATTCTGAATTCCAGGAAACCTCCCACTGCACTGTTAGCTATGTTTTAAGAATAAATATTAAAATAAATATTTTATCCCTTATTTTTAAAAAGCCATTTCTCATGTTTTATTACTATTTTTGAAGGACGATTACATTTACAGTTAATGTTTTTTTCCCCCTTAATTTAATTCTGAACAACATTAGCTATTTATGCTAAAGATTTATAGATTTAGATTGAGCTAAACTCAATATAATTTCTTTGCCTAAGTGCCCTGCCTTTAAGGCATTTTTATTTCATGTAATCCTTAACCGCACTGAAGCCTTTATCCATTTGGTTTTAGTGTTTGACATTGATCTATTCCTGGCTGACCACAGCTTGACCCTGTTGTTTAACCCTTTGACTGAACTTTGCCTAAAGCTACATTTTTAGTCAACACTTGGATCTCATGACTTACTTGTGATGCACATTTAACAACATGTGATTCACTTCAGACATCTGACAATCACTGTACATCTACAACACTATCCTTTGACAAGGATCTGCCTGAGAGCCTGAACATCCTGCAGCTGGTTTGTAAAGAGTTAAACCAGTACAGACCAGTTGGCACTAACTTCAGCTATAGTTAGTTAACTTGAGTCATTTTGCTCTCCTCTGGCTCTTTTCCTGAAACACCACCTGTCATATGGAAACAAAACACCCGACTTATTATCTAATAGATAAAAGTGTTGATTTGTGAAGTCACAAAAGACATGCAATTGCAATCTCCACGACCTGATGCACAGCTTTGGTACTATTATTATTATTATTGTTATAACTGATGCATGCACAGGACAACCTTGAGTTACATTCTCTATAGAGCAAACTGCAACTAGACAATCAGTGGCATTTGTATTTGTTTAACCAATAAACTGCTGAATTAAATGACTGTGTCAGATACTGGATAGGTAAAAAATAAATAAATAAAAATAAAGTAAGCACAGCGGCCTACAGCATGTCAACATCTGCCATATAAAAGGACATTTTTAGTCTTGGAATGTTGTTTTATTCATCTTGATTATTGTAACTTGATATTCCTGCGCTGTTTATCTTTGGTTAATTAGCCGAGCTGCTGTGAAATACGCCTGCTCTTCAGTGAGGAAAGACAGGGCGAGAAAGAGAGAAAAAAAAATGACAACAAATGACTGCAGCAAAAAGTCTGTGCTGCTCAAATAGCACTGCACTGAAGTCAAGTGCCAAAACTAACAGATGCAGTAATGTGGTTCCAAATGAGAGAACACTGATGTATTGTCACTGGCCATAATCTAGATAGGCTACAACAGCGCCATTACAGGGTCCAGCATCATCAGTGTGACTGATGAAAACGCAGCGCAATTGAAACGACATACAAAGAGCCATTCAAACCTCTCTGTCTCCCCTTTTCTCTCTCTCCCGCTCTGATGCAGCGTTTTGTTTTTATGCACCTCCAAAGTGACACGTTTTGCCTGTGATATGGAAATATCACTGGCAAAAACACTGGTGACATCGGTGTCCTTAGGTCTGAATGCCTGTAATGCCCTGGACGTAATGTAGAGACAATGTCACCCATGTTGCCTTCGACCGTTACTGTGTGTGATGCATGTGTTTGTCACAGGAACAGACAATTAAATCAATATTCAAAAGGGCTGCAGCTACTTCACAGCTTGGCTCAGTGGCCAGTGGAAAAAGAGAGGAAACAACACTTTGTATTTTCCTCTCTTCAGGGGATTTCACCACCATCACTATCACTATTGTGGCAGAGGTTTGGAAAAAGACAGCGTTCATTTTCTGTCAGCTTCAAACACACATTTCTCCCTCTTTCTTTCTCTCTATCCATCACTAAAGCCTCGTGTCAATTAGAAATCACAGCCCCACTGAGTTCAAAGTCTTCCTGTCACAACCTTGATTAAGTCTGCTTAACCTCACATTTCCAGCGCCTGCTTAACATTCTACAGCTGTTTTATTCAGCTCTGGTCATTACTGCTCAACTTCAAAAGCTTCCTCTCTTTTTTCTCTCTCTCCGCCCTTTCAGTCATTTTAGAAACACGTGTCAATCACACTCGTCTCAACCGGGACGTAAAATGGATTCAGGCAAACATGTGATTCTCCTACATGAACGCACGCACACACACACACACACACACACGTCTGGTCAGATGAATGTTTAACATACAGGCCCAGCTGTTGGCATGGAAAAATATTGTGATGTCAACTTTTCCTAAAGTTTAAATTATTTATTTATTAAAAGTTAATTTTACTTCAAACCAGGTTGCCAAAACATGTATGTTGAGTATGGACCCCTTTCTATAGTATGGACTTGATGCTAAAAAAAACAAAAGGAGGGAACCAAATGATCTAAAATCAGCCAAAGGTTAGCGACCAATAATAGTGAAGCCATTCAAAGTCAGTGTATATTAGCCAGCACTAAAACATAGCAAAAATATAACTAAAAACTAGCAATAACTCAATGTTTGCAGAAACAAAAGAATCCTGTAGTTAGCCTGAACAGAATACCCACAAATTACCCACAAAAAGCTTAATACTTAATCTAAATATATATTATATAGCAACAAAACGTTACCCATGGTTAACTAAATTATTATTGATGATAATTGCTTATCATCTTAAGGCTTGCAATAAATAACTAAAACCAGTCATTCTTCAAATTTAAACAAGACAAAAATAAGAAATAAATCAATACATAAAAATCCTAAATGCCATAAATGCAAAGATAATTAGACCAAACTTAGTACTTTATTACAAAAGATTAAAAGGCATGTGGTCACAGCAACCAAATATCTGCATATACTTTGAGGCCATCTACAGCTGGTCCATGAGCCAACATTGGACCCCATACCAGAGTTTTGATGCATCTTCTTTTTAGATGTAGCGCGATCTCCTCTTCGAATCAAAGCGAAAAAATAGCATTGATAAAACTACTGATAACAGGAGTTGATACTGAAAGATCTTTGGACATTATTTTTCAGATCGCAATAATTTGATTGTGGAAAAAAGTATTTTATGATACAACTGTAATATCTGTGGGAAGATACCTAGATTGCTGAAATAAATCACTGGAACTGTACGATGCGGCAGTGGACAGTGTTTTGAAGCCACTATTAGCTTTTCTGGAGGCAACACTACTTGTCTCTAAGACGGTCGGGGTCAAGAGTTTGAAGTGACCATTAGAGGTGACCTCCCCACTTGCACCCTGCACTGTTCCAGAACTGTGTGGGATGCTTCCCTGTGATCTTGCTACGCCTCAGCACACCCCTCCACCTCTCCCCCTCCTACTTCATCTCCTCCTCATAGTCTCTTGGAAGTTGTTACCTCCCTCCATCCCTCCCACCCTCCCTGGCTTTTACGGGGGAGAGTATTAATCGCCAAGTATTTATCCTGCCTGAGAACTTTTCTTTCAATCTTTTTTTTTTTTTTGCCTTCTTTTGATCTTCCCCAAAAGTTATACTCTGTTAAACCTTCCTGAGAAGAGGAGGGGACACTTGTGTGTGACTCTGTGTGTGGTGAATGATTTACTGATGTTTATCAGGAATGAATGGATCAAAGGGGAAGTCGCATGACAGGCAATCAATCAAGCATCAAATCAAGGCTGGCTGAAAACGTCCCTCCCCCTCTCTCTCTCCTCTCTCCCCCCCTGTCTTCCCTAATGGGCACAAACACGATGCCAGTGCAAAACGCCGATAAAGATGGGCTTTGTTTTTTATTTTTAATTTAGTAGAGGAACTTGGCTGCAGTGTCTGAACCTGGAAGGATCACCCTGTGCTCTGGAGCGTTAAAAGTGAAGGAGGGAAGCAGCTTGAAGCCAATGCACACACGCAGATTTGGCACCCGGGCGCACGCATGCCTGCGTAAAATGAAACAACAGTGTTGCCAGTCGAACATGCCTCAGAAGATTAGTGGGGGGAACAAAACCTCCGAGTGGTTCACCAACAAGCGACCACGTTTGTGCTTTTGTCCATCTCCTATCTGCTAAATAAACTTATCTCCAAACCCCTGGTTGTGTCCGTGTGTGTTGGCGGAAGTGTGAGTGTGTGAGAGTGTGTGTTTGCAGAACCAAGGAGGTCTTACCTGATGACCGTCGCGGCGCTTGCTGCTTTCTCCTCGGCATGCTGCTGCAGGACTTTCCGCTTGACTTTTCATGCAGAGATCAAAACAAATTTCGGAAAAGCCTGAGAGGAAATCAAAGCCAGGAGCGTTTTCTCTTCAGTTCTGCAGATTACAGGCTGATTTAGTGCAGAAAAATAAAATGGAAAGTGTTTATTTTCTTTCTTTTGTTCCGGCGAAGCTTTAAATCGTCATTCTCTGATCATCTTTGCAGATCGCTCTGTCTGGTTGGTGACCAATAAGAGACTGTTTTGAATTTGGAGCTAAATTTGCTCAGGTTGGTCCGTTAACTTCTGCCCGTGAAGGAAACTCATTTCAGTCGGGGAGGGAGAGCTGGGATCTCGGTGCGGATTTCAGTCCATCCGGGAAGAGGAATATGGAGCGGTCTGTGCCAGGATCGCCGCGCAGCCTTCACCTCCCAAAAAACGATCTGTCCAAGATTTCAGTGAAAATATTTCACACCTCTAATCGTAGTAAATGTGCGGAGGAGCGGATCTCCTCTTCCTCCCGTCACGGCTCTGGTGGAGAGGAGTCCAGATCAAGCGCTTTCTCTCCGTTTCGCTGCGTCCGACAAGGTGCTCGCTGCTGCTGCTCCCGATTCCCGGTTTCCAGCAGTCTTTGAGAGGGGGGAGATCGGTGAATAAGAGTGAAGGAGTCAGAGTGTGTCAATCAGTCAAGTGGGCATCAGTGTTCCAGCACCCGTGGATGGAGAAAATACTCACGTATACGCGCGGTGTCGGCGCGATTGTCAGTGTGGACACTTGACGAATCTCTCAGAAAGTCATCAGAAAACACGGCTCGGATCAGGCCCGCCCTCCAACGACCGCACATACACACACGCGCGCGCGCGCACACACACTTTGTTGCTGTTGTTGTTTATTGTCGGAAGCGCAAAAAGAGCGTTTCCTGCTGCTTATTTCTCCGCACGCTGAGGGGGAAATGTGCGCACATTCACTTCCCTTCAAGACAGGCTGCCTCTGACAGACAGCACACGTCCATCCAGCTGCCTTTCCCCGGGCCCTGCTGAGCTTTTTTTTTTTTTTTTTTTACTCCACCCCTTCACCAAAGCGTCACCCTGACAAGTCAGAGCCTACCTGTCAATCCTGCCGCTGCTGCTGCTCTAATTGTTCACTGGGATGGCTTTCATTTCGACGCCTTCCTGTCCCCCCCTCCTGCAAGCACACGTACAAACACACACACATTGGTACACGCACACATTTTCACATGACACACAAGGTGCAGGACTCGTGCGTAAAAATGCCGATGGGATCGGCAGTCTTCGCTCCAGAGCCCAGGTTTTGCCAAACTTTTGGTACGTTTTTTACAGACAAGACATTTATTCAGACAAGCATATTTACAACTTTTATGTCATGCTGTGTCCTTGTAGTAAACTGAGGAATTACTTTGTGTCCGGAATCTAACCTTACTTATGTTTGTGTTTAAAAGAGTTTTTTTTCCCTCTCTCTTTTTGTGACATCATCTTATTTGGATAAAGAAGAAAAAACATATAAACCAACAGCAAACATAAACTAATCACTATAACTGCATCTGTCTAAACGCTGAGCAAAAGAAAGGAAAGGGTTAAAGCTTTTGAATAAGATGATGAGCACGAATTTGTTTCATAGATAAGAATGGAAATACGTCGACCTCAAATTCCATCAGAATTAAAAAAAAAAAATACAAAAGTTACCTTATTAAAATGACAATTCTTTGGTTATTTCAAAGACAATATTTGCAGTCAAATCAGTGCCGAGTTAATATTTACTGCGCAAAACGCGGTGCGCAAAAGTGTGCCAAAAACGGGAAGAAGTTTTTGCGTCAGAATTCAGGGAGACACAGAGTAAACAGGGGTTTATTCTGCACCACGGAATCTTCTGCCCTGTGTCAAAAGTTGCGAAAACTGTGTATACTGTCTCTGTGACCTTTTCTGGATCGATTTTGGCGAGGCTTGTGCCATAGGGGAGGGGCTCGGAGTCTGCCATTAATAGCCTATATACACTGCGTCCTAACTATAAAGTGTTTATAAAGGGCACACAAGTGAACTAATGTTGTCTTAAATGAAGGGGAATCATAGAAGCCCATTCTGGAGGATGGCGAGGGGAAAGGGGAAGGCAAGGAGAAGGAAGAGAAGCTTGGTTTTTATTACCGAGTAACAGAGGGTGTGGTGATTATCACAACATAACTTGGATGGCACCAGAAGTGGCTCAGTTCACTGTGGATGCGCGCTTTCCCGCAGCCGGACAACGGTTTCATTTCAGCCAGCTCCTAACACCACCAGCCTTTGGACCGGATCATTCAGAAGAAACCCGGATTATTTCACCCACTCTGACACAACAGGGCCCAGCTCTGCTGAATCTGGTGAGTTTCTACACATTTTTCTCTTTTTCATTCTTCACCAGATAAAGAAATAAACCCCCTGCCGATGTTTGTTGTTTCTCCACCCTAAACCATTACGCACATAAAATAAGGAGCTGCTGCGTCTTTGCGCTCGGTGCCAAAGTGATGATCCACGAACACAGACGGTCTGCTGCTTATTATGTGGTAAAAGAAATAGCAAGTACCGCCCCAACATCTGTCCGTCCCTGTCTGTCAAAGCGACCTGGCTGCTGATTGATGGAGCCCAGTTACGTCACTCTTGCTTCCACACCAAAGTCTGGAAACAGAGGGAACGAGCTGAGAGGCTGCACATTTTCCCTTAACCCCCAACACTCCCACACCACCCGCTGCAAATTCTTATTTTATACTTTAAAAATATTTCATTTTTATATGGGTAATAAAAATTAAAAATTAAAGAATTAATGATATCAAATAACACTAAATAAATAATTATTTGTCAAAATACAATAACACACACTCAGGACTTTGAATTGGTTGGTGTTGAATGATTGAGGCTCACACTTTTTCCTCTGGAGTTTTTGGTTTTTTGGGGTGGGGGTTTCTTTTTAAGGCAGAAGAAGCCTGTGCACGGTTTGATCTGATCTTAGACCAGCAGGGGGGGACATGTAGTTCAAGAGGAGACAGGGTAAAAACCACTGCTGCAGGCAGTTCACCTAACAAATATGGCAACATTTAATCTTATTCATTAAATTCAGTGTTCTGTCCTTTATCTGAGACTTTAAGTTTTTTTTCTTAATCTGGTAAAATAAATAAATATATATATCTACACAACAAAGAAAAATCTACATGTTGCATTTCCATGGAAATATAAATTCATCCAAAGATTAAATGTTTAAAAAGAATAACCATGGGCAAAATAACTATAGCACTAACACCCTGTGTTTCCATGTTATATTACAGATATACTTTTGACCAAATGCTGTAATTTGAGAAAGTTTTTGTCAAATTTCAGGCAGGTCTGGTTTGTCCCAGACTGTCTATCTTTGGTCTTCTGACAAGGACCGTCAGTATCACAGAGAAACAAAATCAAAGACAGATGTATAATTTTTTTTTCTTCCTGATTTTAGAAACTACTATTGAGGCTCGTTTCTCAGTGTCTCCGACAGCTTTGACAAGTGTTATCACTATATCTTTGTCAAGAGTGTGTTTTTTTTTTCAAATCCAAACTTTAATGGAAAACTGTGAAAATTACTGAAGCTTTGCAGCAGCTTTTGGTCTCGCTCCATCTGATTTCTTTTTACCCTCTTGCAAAAATGAAGATTTGAAAGCAGCTGGATTCCATTGTCCAGATTTATTCAATTTAAAAAGAAGGAATTCTCTGGTGGAAACATCGCTTGTGTTCAGTGTTTTGGTGTGTAGATAAATAACTTTTATTTTAATTAATAGCTTTTTAAAATTTGTCTTAGGACTTTTCATGTTCGTTCTTCATGATATATTTTTCTCCAAAATTAAAAAAAATCTTTTTGGTCTTAAAATTTAAATTCTGTCTCAGGTGACCAAATGACTTGTTTCTAGACTTTCTCCAGCTGCACTCTGGTTCCAGGGTGTTTCCTCAGACGAATTGAACTTTTCCTGTGCAGACCTTAAGGGAGTGTCGTTCACTTTGGCTTAATTGTTTTATTATACACCCTCATGGTGCGTAATTGTAAAAAACAAACTTCAGTTTTAACATTAACTAAAAAGTTATAGTTATAGGATAACTTAAACGTTAACTAAAAGGTTTAAATATTTTTGTGGCTATGACAGTTTTAGACAGAGTAAAAAATAACACATCACTTAAAAAAAACCCCATTGATTATATTTATATACTGAAATTCTAATATAATAAAAACGTCGTCATTGTCTTATAATTTGTATGTATTACATTTAAATATATAATATACATATATACTATATTTTGTATTTTAGGCTTCATATTATTTCACACCGTTTTATCGTATTGAATAGAATAGAATTGAATCAATTATAATGTATTTACTATAATGTTATTTCTTCCTTTCACTCTTCCTTCCTTCCTTTTATCATTTTTTATTTACCTTAATGATTTTTATCATATTTAACTACAAAAAAATACTTTGTTTCTTAAATCTGTAACTTCCTAAAAGGTGTAGAAAACAATTTAAAACTGCAAGTGACATGGATTGTACACAGAGCACACACACACACAGACACAAGGAGATGTAAATTGCTTGCTACAGGTACATCACTTACACTTCCTACAACACACCTCCCGTGTCTGCGTACATGTATGTGCAAGTGTGTGTGTGTGTGTGTGTGTATCAGACTAGCTCACCTCGTACACACCAGACCTCTCTCTCATAACAACATTGCTGTGACACAGTGCCAGCGTTATGACAAGTCAACGTGTACTTTTTTCCCGCCCTCGACCCGTGCTTCTCCGTACACACACACACACACGTATATTTACATAGTTTATTGTCTACATTCTTCTACTTCTCTCTCTGTCTCCTCTCGTCCTCCAGGTCTGACTGGAGCGTCTGCAGAGAAGACTTGTTCCACCATCTGTGAGGACGCACTGCAAAGAGTGCTCTCACAGGTTGTCATGTTCAGGTAAAACACACAAAGACCAGATGTTTATATATTAAATTCTAGTTATGCAGAAATACTACTGACATGATATGACTCTTGACAGTAGTTTTAAAGTATTTGGAATCATATCAGATTAGAGTGTATTTACTGTCATTGACTTTTCAGTGTATTTCAGGTACAATTAGGGTTATAATTAATTTTAATTATTTTATTTTAATAATTATTAAAACGGTACAATTAGCTAATAGTTAGCTATCTTTGAAAACATTGCTCAATGTATAATGTATTATGTTTTCTTTGCTATGTCATGGTTTTATTGTGCTTAATAATTAACAAAGATGATGATTTATGTCTAATTTTAAAAGTGAATAGATTCCTTTAACCCTGTGGCTTTAATAACACACCTTTTCTTTAAAAAACATTCCTATAAGGATTTGACATTTAACCTACAGTATCTTTAGACTGAAACAAAGATAAATATGTTTTTCCTCCCTAAGTTTCAATCTGTCAAAAAAAAAAAGTGAGCATCTGGAATAAATGATGGATCTTAGTTTATGCTAATTCATCTTTTCATAATCTGGACTAATCTTCAATCAATGATGGCTCCTATCAGATTGCAGACACTCATCGACAGAGTGAATATAAGGATATATAATAAAAAATTAATAAAGAAGGAGGCTGTAACTTTGACACCGGCGATATCTGCTCATCTATCAGATAAGACTGCATAATTAAAATGTGCCAAGTGTGAGTGTGAGGAGACGGAGGGAAGACATTTGGACGTTTCAGAACAGAGATGTACTTTTCCACGACTTGTTTAATGTGGAGCCTTAAGAAGAAGAAGAAGAGAAAAAAAAAACCCTGATATGTTACTGCCGATTTGACAATGCAATTAAAGGTTTGTAAGCCCTAACTGAGCTTTTCTTTGAGGGAGTGGTGGAGGTGGCTGTCAGTGTGGGAGGAGAATAGGATGAAATGCTGCACCACGATGACAGAAGTGAGTTTATGAAATGATGGAAGTTTCAGGGCGACGCAGAGGTTCGGTGCTACGACAGTGATGGCGCTCACAGCTAAAGGGACAAAGAGTAAATCAAGCCTGTTTACGCTAAGTACAAAACTATTGTTTTAACAGATGAATAGCTGTGATTCTAAATCTTTGGGTCACAATCCGAGTACAAAACTATTGTTTTAACAGAAAATGAATAGCAGTGATTCTAAATCTTTGGGTCACAATCCCTGTTAAGGTCACAACATGATTTCACTGGGGGTCACTGGCTTCAAAAAAAAAAAAAAAAAAAAAGGAGTAGCCAGAAATCCTAAAATACCAGAATTTGGCTGACCTTGAAGGGGTTTTGATCAGTACCGGCTTTGAACTGGCGTCTTAACCAATGAGAGCATTTTAGGGTGGGGCTAAAACAGCCAACAGTGTTGGAGGAAACCCTGAGAAAGTGACCAAACTCCTTACTTGCATATTTCTTCTCTGTCCGTTACAAACTTAAATTTTCTTATTTCGTGTTATTTTCTTAACACTTAGAGTCTATAGTATAACCATAACTAAAAGTGTGCAAAAAAACAACATTTAAATTTAGTAGGATTTTTAACTTACTTTAGTTACAGTATTGCCGTCGACACGTCTGTTGTTCTGCGTCGGCCTTCCTGGTTTGATGGATGTCACAGAGAACTCTGCATCAAGAAGCAACAAAGAAGCACAAATAAATTATAATTATTCAATTCAGCTCCTGTTGCAGAAATATTTGTTTTTAGGTCATGTATGAATGTACATGTCTGTAATTCACTGTTGGTGGTTCTAATTCACCTTGTTTTTATGTCTGTGAAATAAATAAATAAATATAAATGAAATAAATAAATAAATACATGAAATTAGTTCTATGTTGGTGCTTGACATTCCCTAAACCCGGGCAGGTTACATTAGCTTCTGTGATTTTTAAAAAAAAATCAAGCCCAACTTTCATCCCTCTGTGACCAAAACGACTGCACAACAATTGACACACACACACACACTGATGTGTGTAGCAGCCATTTTTTACTCATGTAAACATGAAGGGTAACGTCGTGTCTCCTGTACATGCGGGTCACTTCAGTGCCATGTTCCGTATAATGTGAACAACCGTGCATACGGATATATCTCAGCAAAAAATCAGAATCAGAGTTGAAGCCTTTAATGCAACGACCACCAGAAAATTCTGGAGAATATTGTGGATGTTGTGTTGGTTTAGAAGGAGTAACGGGGCATCACTATAAGGTACAGCACACACAAACATTTCCATAAACCAAACGTTTATATAGTATAAAAATATATCAAATTTTAAAGAAATGCTTCTCAAGGTTTATTAAGACCAGATAAAATAGCCTTTACACCCTTTTTTAGTACAAAAATAAATAGAATTTAAAAAGATCCTTCTTAAGGTTTATTAAGACCAGATAAAATAGCTGTGATCAATTAACAATTCATTGAGAGCCTCAAACTTTGGACAATCATGTGATCGACAGATGTGGTTTTCACACCAGCAGACGACATTGTAAAAGTTAACCTGGACAAGAAGTGCAATAAGAGCTAATCTCAACAAATGTCTCACCTGTTAGTGTTTTGATTTTGTTTCTTATTTACCCTCCCACACACTTACACACACTCTCTCTCGCTCTCACACACCTGCAGCTCTCTCAGAAAGTTCTCTAAACGTTTTCTTTTCACCATTTACCAAACCAAAAGTGTAAAAAATCAGAAATTAATCTCTTGATTATGTGACGCAACATTTCCTGCCTTCTGACACAAACCTGATTAAAAAAATCTTACTAAATGAAGTGACACATTTCACCTTTAAATAATACCTGTCTATCTCCTCACTTCCTCCTCCGTCTCTCCCTTCCTTCCTTCCTCCCTTTATTTCCTCATTTGCCTTTTGTTTTCTTTGACACATGAACTCCAATTAGCACTTTTCAGCCATTAAATGGAAAAAGAAAAAAAAGAAAGCAAGGCTGAGCTCTTCCTCAGATTCCCCTGCTGAACTGAACAAAGAAAAACTGTAAAGAAAAAAAAACCCTGAACTTTCTTTTCACACAACAATTATCAATGGTTTTGTAGGAAATCTGACGTGTGATTGAAACAGTAAATGTGATTTAAATGTGTTTGTATCAGTGAGAACATAAACAAGGACAATTACTGTCTTCTTGTTTTTTTTCTCTTGTGAACACTCCCATTTCTGAGATTCTTTTCTTCTGCATTTTCTTCATCTTTCCTCTTGTTTGTCAAATTAGTGCTCCCCAATCCAATGGCTGCACTCCTAAATTTAAATGAGCGAAGATACAGATTTGCACAGAGCCCTCGCTGTGGGCTTTGGAGGCAAAAGAATCCGTCACTGCTGCCGGTTGGTGTGTTGTTACATTAAAGGGAAGAAAATGCTCTTAAAAAGGTGCTTTTTCTGACATTAAAATGACTTGTGCGCCGAGCCGCCGACGCTCCGTTGGTGTAGTTTGAGGCATATATTTATGAATAGGAACCTTTAATTAGGGCTTGTGTTTCCTCCCTAGTCACATTGAGGGATGGTCCTCGCCGACATTCATTAATGATAATCACCAAGAGCGATGGCACAGCTACAGGCCAAGTCTCAGGGGAGCCGACACTTGAAAAGAAGCATTAAATTACACAGAGGGACTCTTTAATTGCAAAAAGGAAAATATATAGCCATCATTGTTAAATATGATCTTTTTGTGAGCCTTTACTGGTCGAAGGATTTGTCTGAGGCTTTTCTTATCCTCACACTGTTTTCAAATTAATCTGGCCACTCCTGAGATAATTTACTGAGGCCATTTTAAGAACATTCGCCTCAGCACTTTTAGTTCTTCCTTATCGGAATCCAGTCTAATTCAGGGATGTTAATACATAAATAATAATAATAAAAAAAACCCCCACTAATATTGTATGATTTGAAATGAGACCTTAAAATACAGCTGTACATTTACTGTGAGGGTGAACATGATATAAAATCAGGGAGTGTTGTAAAAATTGAATATACCGTATGTAGCTGTGGTGTGAAGTACAAGATCAGATTGTGAACCTGCAACTATAGCTAGATAGCCTGATTTAAGTATTGTTTTTAAGCTAACAAATAGTCAAAACATTTTGAACTTCTTCATCTTTTTACTACATCTGTGTTTTGTTTTTTTTACTGACTCATTAATGTATTTTAAACAATAAATATTTAATTGTCTTCTTCTTCTTGTAATGGTTAAAGCATCTGTTCATGTTTAGACATTAATTAAAATAAAGTGTATGTTGACGACGCAGTGACATGAGTTATTCATACACACACACACACAGTCAAACTGCTGACCTCTGATCAGGACACACGCAGCTAATGATCACAGATTCATCACAGCTGACTGAACACATGCTGACCTGGGCAGGTAGGTCGTCCAAGTCCCTCCCACATTTTTCTATTTCATTTTTCAGTCTATCCATAAATGTTTTTAAAATTTTGCCCTGTACTTTGTTTCTTCATTCCTTCCTATGTTAATTGTAGATCATCAATATAATCATTTTTTTTGTTACCACTTCATCCTTTTGTCTGCCATCCCTTCCTCTTCCTTCCTCTTGCCTGTGCTTCCTCCCTTCCCTCAGTTCAAATCTACCTTGGATCCAGATGTAGAACTTAACTTGGCCCACATCTATTTTTACCTGTTGTAGCGGGTGGAGGGTGAGGAGGGTGTGAAGGGACGGGTGAGTGCTTCCAGAGGTGAGAGTGGGCACGCTGAGAACGAAGAAGGAGGGTTGGGGGAGGCAGGGTCACGATGCTCCATTAATCAAAAAGAATGACACTTATGTCGTGTGTGTGACAACCATCCTGCCAGCCATACGTCTGCTCCTCCTCTTCCTCCTCCTCCACCTCCCCCTCCTCCTCCGTCATCCTACTCAAACAGGGCAACTTTAGTGATGGGGTGGGTGACAAAAGAAGAAGGGGAGGGGGTGAGGGTGAGCCGACTTTATTAATCAAGCATCTCAGATTAATTGTTATGAAGTGTCAGCCATAAATTCTCCATTTGGATTTAATAATCTTGGGGGTAGACTTAACAATCTCTGTCGTGATTTGAGTTTTATTGAAGAGGCTGCGGAGACGGAGACAGAGAGGGGGGGAAAGAGACACAGGGAGAGGGAGAGCGAGAGAGAGAGAGAGGCGCCGTGACACAAATAGCTTCTCAGCGGACAGTCCCTCTCCACATGACAGTTATGAAATACAATTATCAGCCAGATCTGCTTAAGAATTCATCAACTGCACCCCTGCTTTCCAAGGAGAGAGGGAAGAAGAAGAAGAAAAAATATCCTACACACAAAGCAAGTCTTAACTGATAAGATTCCTCTTTTCCCTGCAGCCTTTAAACTATCATTTCAATTCTCTGTCTCTGTCTCAGACATGTTCCGTCACCGCAACGGTACGGCGCCAATATTGCTTTGGAAGTGCTGCGTGTGTTATATTAAAGCATATATCATTAGGTAATCAGGGAATATGCTAAATGACACACCACATGCAAATCACTGACACAGTGAGCAGTTTGTTTGAAATGTATTACCCGTTGATTTTGCATCAGGGTCAATAATAGCAGTTAATCTCCACATGTAGCAAAAAGAAGATATACTGTCAGGGAATCGAACAGCGTCCTGTCAGGCGCTCAGAAGTCACGGCATCATAAAACGCAAATGATTTCAATCAACTGTCATCTAATTGCAGTCGTATCTTTTGAAAGGAACGCAGACCGGCCACCATGCAGGTTGACAGTGTGCATAAAATTAGCATAGCTTTGCATACTGTGATGCCATTAATGTTGGTTTTATGGAAGATGTGGGTTATACCATCTATTTATCGGTACAGTGGTGTTGTCTTAGAGGAAGAAGGACAAAACAGTCCTGGTGGTATTTGTGGATGTGGTTCATCTCCATTATTCAAACCAAGACTGTCACTTTTCTCCAGAAATCAAAATTGAACAAATTCATGTGACAAGCTGAAGCTTAATAGGCCAGGATCCGGCCCAATCATTGAATAAGGCACCAAATAATGGCATTTTCAATATGCAGCGTACAGCTGTTCACCAACCCATTAGGTCACAGCCTGAACAAAGCTGACAAATATTAGCCATTTTAATTGACGTCTAGATTACACACTGTCAGAGCTGTTGGAAAATGCCAACTTTTTTTTAGAGATATTTGAACCAAACCTTTAAATGTAGTGCACAGTGGGTTTACTGTATACAACTGTATACATATATATATATATCAAAATGCTTGCTACTACCTCAACAACTCTACAGCCCTGTCATCATCATACTATCTTTAAACTTGGATTGCCAAATGCTAATCACAACACGTAGCAACCAGTCAGAACACAGTCCACAGTCATACTCAGAGACTGTAGATCCAAACACTTTACTTGAACCTTTCTTCTGCCGTGCTCTAAGAGTATGGATATTCTAGCTTTGAATTAAAGGTGACAGCCTTAATGTCTGAACTATTTTAACCAAAAAAAGACAACTCTCCTGCATCAGACGGCAAAACAACCTGGCCTTGTTTCTACATTAAAAGATTCATTTGTCACGTCCTGGAAGTGATTTTGTAATTTCTCCAATGACGGCTGGTTGTCAACATAGATTTAAAAGGCATAAAGAGTGTCTCT